GTGGGGGGCCGGGGGCGGGTTCCCGCGCTTCTGAGGCTTTGCAGACCACAGGCACCCGGTCTCAAGCGGCAGCAGCGGCGGTTCCCGCGCTTCTGAGGCTTTGCTCTGGCAAAGCCTCAGAAGCGCAGGAACCCGCCCGGTGCCCCTGGTCTGCTGGAGACGGTCTCCAGCAGACCAGGGGCACCGGAGCAGCTTACGAATGGGGCTTTCTCGCCCCAGAGCTCGCAGGTAGCAATCCGCCACCTCGACCTCCGGGGCGAGAAAGCCCCGTTCGTAAGTGCGGATCCGACGTAAGTTGGATCCGCGTAAGTCGGTGACTGCCTGTAATTGTCGTAGCAAAATGTACCATTCATGACTTTAAATTACTCGTAACCTGTGAAATAAAAGTTCCTTTTCTATCAAAACTTGAAAAGCACTGAAAACTGAATTACTAGCAATGTTCACTCAGGGGAGATGTTTATTTTTCAGGAGGTATCTAAGCCTATTTTAAAATAAGGAACGCGACATTAGTGGCATAACATATCTAATATAGGATTTGATCCTTCCGCCATTAAGTATGTGAGGTACAAGTTACTTTGGACAGGGTATTCACCTGTGATGCATAGGGTGGTGGGTTCTAGTCCATTCCCTCCAGAAGTTACTAGTTACTTCAGCTGAAAGTAAGACAGGTTTGCAAGTTTGAGCTATCATATTTGGAAGGCTTTATGAAAGATGATAATAGCTAGTTAGGTGAACAGCAGGACTGTTCATCTTATTGAAACATTTTTACACACACGGACACACAGGGCTGGCTCGAGCCATTTCTGCACCCTGGGCAGCAGGCATGCGACACATGCGCTGCTCTGCCCCCGGGCTGATAGCGCATGTGCAGCCCTGCTCCCCAGCATGCTGCGCACCTTACAGCAGCAGTCGGGCACGCGGTGTCTGATTGCAGCTCTAAGAGGTGCCGTGCGGCCCCCGGCCCCGGGCGTGCGGCACCTGATGGCAGCTGTAAGGGGCCCCCCATAGGTTGGCACCCGGACAGCTGCCCGGATAGCCTCCCCCCTCCTTAATACAGCCCTATGGACACATACACACACAATTGTGCTTCAAAAAACCTGTAATATACCCACTACATTCTTTTCAATAGTTACATTCATTGGTATTGTGTCTTAAATTAGATTGTAAATTCTTCAGGGCATGGTCTGTCTCAAGTTTGTTCAGCTATTAACACAAGGTATTTAATCTTATTGGAAGGCTCCAGAAGCTACTGTAGTACACAAAATAACAAGTCTATGTAGAGATTAGATAAATCTCAAATGTAAGAGACTTGAGAAGAGTGAATTCTTAATGGGGATGGAGGAAACAGTTTAGATATTTTAGAGCAAGAACATAACATTACTAAAAGTTTATTTACCTAGCTAATAAAACTGGGCTGATAATTGTTTCACTTACATGACACACTCTTAGGGTAAAAGATGGCCGTCAGTACTTTATGACTATGGAGGGTGTTGTGGGCATGGTCTCAAGAGTTTTAGAGCTAATGTAGATGTTTCCACTTCATTACTTCCAATGGAATAGAGCCTTATCTGTCTGCATTAATGAATGGATACCCCTCCAGAAGATTTGCTACTGGTTATTTTCTAATGATGATATAATTAGAAAGCAAAAATAGCTCTTAGAGAAAGGAATGCCTGTAGCCACAACCCACAAGCTTCTCAGTTTGATTGTGTTCAAAATCAGAATTACTGTAGCATAGAAAACGAAACTGGGCAATATTAGAGAAGATG